AAATAAACAAAGGTATTAGGAAAAAAGAAGAAGAAGGGTTCAATGTTAAGAATCCTGCTGCAAAGAGCTTGTGTCTGATTTTGTTTCTCTGCTGGCATTCCACGGGTCTGCGGGTCTGTGGGCAAGGCCTGGTGAGTACTCTGAGGTTTGTTGAGGGACAGGGCGAATGGATGAGGGAGACCAGCCATGCAGGACTGGGAAGGGCCTGCCAACCTGGAGCCACCTCCCTGGCCTTTAACTGTCCTGAGGGGATACAATATGCACCTCCAGGGGCTGGGATTGTGGCTCAGAGGGAGAGCGCTAGCCTCATATGCGTGAGGCACTGGGTTCAATCCTCAGCTCCACATAAAAATATAATAAAAGTATTGTGTCCACCTATAACTGAAAAAAATATTAAAAAAAAACAAAACACCTCCAGCCTTTTTGATCTCTGCCCAGTGAAAAGGATCCATTTTTTTTTTAATAAATATTTTTTAGTTGTAGTTGGACATAATACCTTTATTTTATTTATTTATTTTTATGTGGTGCTGAGGATTGAACCCAGCGTGTCGCACATGCTAGAGGAGCACTCTACCGCTGAGCCACATCCCCAGCCCCATGAAAAGGATCCATTTTTAATTCGGGAAATGAAGATTCCTGTCTAAAGAGCTAGAATGTTAAGAGGAGAGAGACCTGATTAAATTGGAGTTTCTCCAGGTACAGTGGGTCGAATAGTGTCCCCCAGTTCATGCCCAGTCGGAACCCATAAATGTGGCCTTATTTGGAAACAGGGTCTTTGCAGATGTGATGAAGTTACAACAAGGTCGTCCTGGACTCGCGTGGGCCCTGACTCCAGTTGGACTGGTGTCCTTATAAGAAGACAGGGATTTGGACACAGAGATGCCAAGGAGGAGGCCGTGCGAAGGTGAAGGCACAGGCGGGAGGATGGATTGCTGGCAGCCGCCGAGGTTAAGGAGAGATAGAAAAGAGTCTTCCTAAGAGTCAGCTTGTTCTCAGACTTCTGGCTTCCAGACCAGAATTTGGTGATCAAATTTTATAGGTACAGAGAACATAAAGACTTTTTATCTGGGAGGAATGAAATTGATCCAAGTTGAGTGCGGTAAGGTACATGCCTGTAATTCCAGTGACTCGGGAGGTTGAGGCAGGAGGGTCACAAGTTGGAGGCCAGCCTCAACAACATAGTGAGTTCGTGTCTCAAAACTAGAAATAAAAAGGGCTGGGAAAGGGGCTGGGGTTGTGGCTTAGTGGTAGAGCGAGGCCCTGGGTTCGATCCTCGGCATCACATAAAAATAAATAAATAAATAAAATAAAGGTATTATGTCCAACTACAATAAAAAAGGGGAGGGGGCTGGAAAGTGGCTCGGTGGTCGAGTGCTTCTGGGTTTAATCCCCAGTACCAAAATAAAAAATAAATTGATCACCTAACTTCGGCCATTGTCTCATTATTTCTACCCAGTCCAACTTACCCAAATCAAAGTCTGCAGACTGAAATTTTGGTCAAAACTTGATGTTATCTTAGTCTTTGCCAGTGGTGGTTTTATTTTATCTCTTTTTTTTTTTTTCCTGTTCTGTATCAATTTTTGGTCTCTATTCCAGACAGATTTTGTGATCTCCAAGTAACTAATAAGAGGATTCTCTCTCTCTTTTCTCTTTCTGTTCTCTCTTTTTCTTTCTCTCCCTCTCTCATTTTCTTTTCCTTGCCTGTTACAAATTAAATCATCCCAGGTGTAGTTTTAACCGTGGGCAATTTTGACCAGTGATAAGGGTTTTTATCAGTGATATCATTTACTTTGTGGATGTTTGCCTGGGCTGGCACTGGACCTCGTGCCTGCTGGGCAGGTGTGCTACCCCCAGCCTGAGAAGAATTGCTTTTAAGTTACAGAAACAGAAGGATCACCTCAACAATCTGTTGTCCTCATAAAGTCCCTGTGGTGTGATTGGAGCAGGTGCCACTGTTATGCGTGTGACATGCGCCTGGCTGGCCCTGAGCCTGGCTCCGGTGCCCACGCCCTTTCTCTGCTGCCGAGGGAACCCAGGCTTCCCCTGGGAGTCCAGTGCGGCAGCACGAGGCAGCTGGACAGGCGCTCAGGGGATCCCTGTCCTAGGGTTTTATTCTTGTCACTGTCACTTTGTCCCCCCCCCCCGAAATCAGGGTGGCATGGGGATGGCACAGCTTCCAGGTAAGAGGCTCAGAGCCCACCGAAGCCCACTGAGGGGTCATCTCTGAGCTGAGTACGTGGACTGGGGTCTTTGGTGCATCTGGGGTCAAGGAAGGCCTTGGAATGAGAAGGTCCCCACGTGACCTTCAGTTCAGGCCTAGCAGCTGCACGTGCTAGTGGATGAGGAATGAAGAAGAGGGAGGTGGTGGACACCTGTGATCCTGGCCACTGCAGAGCAGTGGTGGGGGGTGGAGAGTTGGAGACCGGCCTGGGGACATAGTGAGAAACTGTCTCAAATGAATCAATAAACAAAAAAAGGAAACAGGAAGTAGGAAAGGAGGAAGGGGAAGAGGAAAAGAAGGAAACTAGGAAGGAGAAAGAAAGAAAGAAAAAAGCAATACGTAGGAAGTCATGTAAAAGAAGGAAAAAGGGGTTGGGTGTAGCTCAGTGGAAGAGCTGGGCCAGGACCTGGGTTCCATCTCCAGCACCACCAGCCAACAAAGCTTGCAAATAGAAATTTTAGGCTGAAGGTGTAGCTGGGCGGCAGAGCCCTCGACTAGCATGCGTGAGGCCCTGGGTTCATCCCAGGACCAAAAAGAAAGAAGCAAAAAAAAAAAAAATAATAATTAAAGAAAGAATGAAAGTAGAAAAACCAGTGGAGGAAAGGGTGAAGGAAGGACAAGGGGACACAAGACTTTTGTGGATAGGTGGCAGCCTCCCCCACCTTCCTGGCCATCAAGAACCATTCAGCAAATGTGGCTTTCTCAGAGCAGCTCCTGTGTGCCAGTCACTGGGCAGTGTTTGTTTGCTTTGGGTCCTAGGGCTTGGGCTCAGGGGGCTCTGCCCCTGAGCTACATCCCCAGCCCTTTTTATTTTATTTTGAGATAGAGTTTTGCTAAGTTGCTGAGGCTGGCCTCCAACTTGAGATCCTCCTGCCTCAGCCTCCTGGGGCACTGGGATTGTAGGTGTGCACCACAGAGCCCAGCAAGCCTTCCTGTTTTGTCTAATCCTCACTCCAGTTTTGCAGGGGGCGGCTGTTATTCTCATCATTTTCCAAATGGGGAAACAAGACTTGGAGGGGCAAGGAAGCCTGCCCAAGGTCACACGGTGGCCTGAAGGACTCGGGGCCATTGCCACAGGTTGGTCTCTTCCTTTCTCTTCATTCTCTTGCTCCCACTTACCGACTCTGGGTTCTTAACAAAGACCTTGGTGCTCCCCATCTGGTACTGGTCCGGCTCCATGTTGACCGCCCTAAGCAGATGCTGGACACCCTGACGTTCGTCCCCACGCCACTGTGGCCAGGTCTCAGGGGTCAGGATGGCGTACCTGGAAGCAGAGGGTGGGGTGTGGGGCATTTGGGGCAGGGCGGCTGGTCATTTTGCTGGGGCCGCTGGGCCGAGCGCTCACCTCTGCAGGAACTTGGAGAACTGGCGGCGGTAGGCGAAGCCGGCCCTGCGCACCCGGATGTTCTCCCGCAGGCCCAGGTACTCCACCTGGTGCTTGACCCTGTGGGGAGGGCGGCCTGAGACCCTGCAGCTGGGGGCTGCTGGGTGTGGGGAAGGCAGGGCAGGTCCTGCAGGGCTGGGTTTGTGTTGGGGGCTGTTCCGGGTGAGCACTGAGGTCTGGGACTCCACTCAGCCCCCGGGGGGTCTGGGGACCCGGGCTGTGCTCATCCTGGTGGTCAGTCCTGGGGTCAGTTCTGGACTTTGAGTCTGGGGAACTGAGGCTGGGGGCTGTGCTTGTCCCTGGGTCAGCCTGTAGTCAGTCTAGGGTCACCCCGGGGGGCCAGGGGGGTCTTGGTCAGTGCTAAGTATAACCTAGGAGCCCTGAGGGGTTTCCTGCTGGCTCTTGGGGCTGGTCTGGGTTAGTCCTGGGATGGGGCCTGGAATGGGGGGTCAGTCTGTGGGTCAGGTGGCATGCACTGGTCCAACCAAAGTCCAGACCTGGCCAGGAGACGTCACCTGCTCTCTTCCCAGTCTCGGGGCCTCTTGGTCTCGTTGGGTTTGATGCAGCGGATGTAGTGGGGGGTGCACCTCTTCAGTGTGGTCACCAGGTCATTGGCTTGTTTCTGAGAAGCAGGAGAAGGCAGGGTGAGGGGAGCACAGATGGCCCCTCTCCTCTCCCCACCCAAGAAACAGACACACCCATGGCGGGCAGGGCTGGGGTCTGTGCTGCTGGAGCATGGAGTGCACACCTCTGAGTGTCCACCAAGAGGGGTGATATCCTGGGTCTGCCTGCCCTCCAGCTGGGAGCTCTTGCATGTGCCACACTCCCCATGCTTAGCTTGGCACACAGTAAGTGCTCAGGAAATGTTTGCAGACCGAGTAGCTGACCATTCAGGGGACCATGTTGCCCAGAACGTTTCTACCTGTCCTTTAGGGAGACAGGGATTTGGGACGTAAAGAATCATGTGTACATTCTTGAGAGGCCAGCCTTGGGTTGTGTATTTTAGTCACCCCAGGAAATAGAGTGAACAGAAAAGAATTCTTCTGGCGGGGGGGGG